CACTTTCATCTCCACCTCCTGTTAACCCCACTGCACCCTCTCCGTCACCCCCACCTTCCTCTTCATTAACATCTCCGGACACCACTTCCCCAGAGTCCTTTTTAACCCTTCCCAGTGAGCAGCCACACCCATTCTCAACAGCCCCTTCTCTGTCCCTTATGTGAAGTGGCTGACTTTGAAGGTGTTGTCCATGTCCATATTCCTTTCTCCCTCACCAACTTATCTCAGACTGAAAAACGTCTGGGTTCCCTTTCTCACAACCCTACCACCTACATTAAGAAATTTCGTTGCCTCTCTCAAGCGTATGACCTAACCTGACATGACATTTATGTCATTCTTTCTTCTACTTTAAACTCTGATGAAAAGGAGTGGGTTCTTGGAACTGCTCGGGAACATGCCGACCAAATTCATTGAACTGACCATACCATGCCAGTGGGTTCAGAAGCAGTTCCGGGGCAGGACCCCGGATGGGAATACCAACTAGATACCCAGTCTGGGTGAAATGGCTGCACTCGTAGAGGCAAAATGCTCCAATGCCTCCTAATGGGCCTACAAGCTGTCTCACATAAAGCTGTTAACTTCGATAAACTGCAGGAGATTACTCAACTCCCTAATGAAAACCCAGCAACTTTTCTTAATCGCCTCACTGAGGCCCTTACACAATATACTTGCTTAGACCCAACCTCCCCGGCAGGAGCTACTGTTTTAGCTACTCACTTTATCACCCGATCTGCTCCTGATATTAGAAGGAAACTGAAAAAGGCAGAGGAGGGCCCCCAGACTCCCATCCGAGACCTCGTGAATATGGCCTTTAAAGTCTTTAACACTTGGGAGGAACGGACTGAGGCAAATAGGGAATCCCGCACTTGTCAGAAGGCCAATTTGCAAGCCCAAGCTTTAGTGACAGCCCTGAGGCCGACACCTACTTGACCAGCCAGAAACAACCTACCAGTTGGACCCTGCTTGAAATGCGGTAAGGAAGGCCACTGGCCAAACACTGCCCATACCCACGACAACCTTCCAGACCTTGTCCGGCTTGCGGTCAAACGGGACATTGGAAAAGTGACTGTCCCTCCATGCCAAGACACGGGAGGCCAACTCCTCCAACCCCTGACCCACACCATTGACTGTCCTGGGTCTGGCAGCTGAAGACTGAAGGAGCCCCGACTCATCGACTCCAATCACTCTCGCCAAGCCCAGGGTAACACTCAAGGTAGCAGGTAAGTTGACGTCCTTCTTGGTCGAT